CTAAAAATATTACAATTTTGAATTTTATTTATTAAAACTGTTTTATCTGGAATATTGTAAGCATCATCTATAGTATTATCATTTAATCTTTTATAATTAATTACCATTCTACTTTTACCTCTAATAATTTCTGAATGTTTTCTAACTATAAAAGCTGCTGATCTATGAGGGCTTTCTGATTTTCTAATAACTCCTAATTTTAATAAATCATTTATATGCATTCTAAAATCTTCCTGATCTTGATTTGTGGCTTCAATATTTTTTGTTTTAATAATATATTCTGGGTTCTTAATTTTTATTTCACAAAATACTTTATCTTTATCCCAATATTTAAGAATATTTTCTCCTAATATCTCTAATTTTTCAAGTTTACTAATCATATTTTCTATATCTTGTTCTGTTACTAGCAAATCATAAATTTTTTCAATTTCTATAAAATCTAAACATGTATCTTCATATTCCTCAAAACTTTCATAATATTCTTCTAAAAAATTTAAATTTTCTATTTCTTCCTTTTCTATTAATTGACATTCTCTTTCTTTACTACACTTCTATTAATTGACATTCTCTTTCTTTACTACACTCACATTCTTTTTCTTATATATGTATATATATTTTTTTTTTTTCATATGATTTTTGGAATAATTTTAGTTTAGTTTAGATATCAGGTGAGGACATGTGTTGTGAACTTTTTAAATCATAGGCTAATAATAATAAAACTATTTTACTTTCTACGATTATTTCAATACGATGTTTGTAATTTGTATTACTAAATTAGTATTGTTTTTTTTTCTGAAAAGTGAAAAATCTAAAATTTTTAAGTTAATAAAATTAATATTTTAACTAAAAAAATTTAAAATGATTTGGTTTGATTTTGTGCGGATTTTAAAAATTAAAACATAAATCAAACTATTTTGAAACGGTTTGGTTCAGTTTGAGGGGAAAAAAATAACGGGTATCCAAACCAACGGTTTCGATTCGATTTGCAGTTTCGCGATTTTTTTTGCAGCCCTTATGGTGGTTATGTTTTATGAAGTCGCACGAAAAGAATTCAGGGTTGGAAAACGGAATCTGAGGCCTGATGTTTGCCAAGTCATGTTGTGTGTTTTTACCTTATCCATGTTTGAGATCAATTTTTTTCAAAATTCATTTTCATTTAAATGTAAAAATCTGACTATTTTCAATTATACATTCTCCAAAAAGTCATCCCCCCCCCCCCAGCGCCCGAAAAATACCTTCAAGTCTTTATTTTTTGTATGCAAATGCATGTTGATTAAATGTGAGAGGAATCTAAAGATGAAATTGGAAGATTTATCCTATAAACGCGAGTTAGAAGAGTGTTTTACGAAGTACTTGTATTAAAAATTAAATATTAATTATCATAAATTACACTTTTATAAGCACAAATTATGAGAATGTCTCATGAGCGCTTATTTTAAGTTAGAATTATAAACATTAGAAGTTTAAAGATTGTTAAATTTTATAGGTTTCACTCAAATAAAAACTAAAAATAATAAAATATTATAATTTCCTTATTAGTTCATAGTGATAGTCTATTCTTAAAATCAATCATATTTCGTAGTACTGCTATAACATAATTTTAGTTAAAATCGTATTCAAACAAGTTTATTTAATTGGGTGATTACCTCCGTAGCACGGACACTTTAACTAAGATAGCGTGTCAGTGTCCGATAAGTGTCGGACACGTGTCGATGCCGATACTTTTTGGACACTCTACAATAATCATTTTTTTATACTATAACTATTATACATATTTAACTCAAAATTATTAGTAAATAACAAATAAGTACTTAAATTTCAAAGATTTCAGCAAGAAAAATCAATAATAAGTATAAAACTAAATTTATTCTATATAAATGAAAAATTTTAAAGAATTTAGTCAACGTGTCGACGACGAATCGTGTCGATAATTTTTTGAAAAATTATGTGTCGACGTATCAGACACGTATCGTGTCGGACACTCGTGTCCGTGTCAGTGCATCATAGGTGATTACACTTTTATATAATTTTGATAGGCTATGTTTATTTTAGACTCCATCAAGATATTACACGAGATAAATAAAACAAAAAATGAATATTAATGAGTGGAGTGGAAATAAAGGGTGCGAAGTAGTTTGGGGCAAAAAGAGTTGATCATACTCCTGATAGAAGCATTCAGTCTCAATTTGGTTTCCGTCACGATAGATACGAAAAAATTTCCTGCTGTTGAACGAAAGTACTGTTGGTTTTTGGATTTAATTATAGGAGGAAAATTACTTCACTTTCAAGATTAAATTACAATAGGTTATAGATCTTGGATCATCATTGAGGTTATTGGATTTTGGTTTTTTCACGCATAGAGAGAGATCATAACCTTAGAAGACATATAATTGCCTTCTACCATCTAGCTAAAACTTCTTCGCTTAGATCTTTCCTCTTGTTCTCTTTTTGGTGCCTTCCTCTTCAAGAAATGTGAAAATTTAGCTGACTCTAATTTTTAATAAATGCGCACATAAAGGAAATAACTATAATACCCAGATAGGATTTCATAATTACACAATGTCCCTTTGGAACTTTATTGTTCTAGGTCAATCAAGTTTCACGCTTATATTAGAATAAACAGCAGTACTTATCTGGACGCACAAAACTCGAGCTCCAATAGATGTTTTTAATTTGATCAACTCTTGACTAATTAAGATACTTATATTAATCACGATTTATGCTACCCAAGAGCCAAATTGTACTATCGAATTAAATGACAATTATAAAATAGATTATGATCTGATAATAATATCCCCTGATCATGGTTTTTACAAGCCAACTCCATTTGACCACCAATATGTTGGAAGTAGCAAAATGATCGTTTTGCATTTCCAACATATATAGCATTCTATTTCCTAAATTTATAAATCGCAAGTGTGCAAGTTGCGTTCAAGTAATAAGCGGATTATGGTCCTAGTCGATCTTTTGAGGAATGTTTACTTAATTACACAGTAGTCAATTTAATTCTAACAATTTAACAAAAAATAAAATCTTGAAAATAATAAAAATAATTAAAAACTCTACAAAAAGAACAAATCTAAAAATTCGGAAAAATCAAGAAGATAAAGTAATTGGGATTATGATTTCATTTAATCGTCACTTAATTTATTTCTCCACATGTATCAAATCACTCGTTTAGTATGTTAAACACGATTTGAAGTATATTGTTGGAAATTGTTTGGTGGTGGTGGTGGTGGTGGTGGTGGTGGAGGTGGAGGAAGAGAGGGAGAGAGAGAAAAAGAAATTTTTTTTTTGAATTTTTTAATAATATATTTGGGAGCCATTTGCACTTTTTAAAAAGGTTTGGGAGTATGGATGCAATTAATTCTTTTTTTTTCTTTTTTGTTTTATTTAAATAAAAGTGTATATTCGTCATTTCACATATTTTTATTGAGAAATTAGACAAAAATTGACGCACAATGAAACATGAAAATAAAGATGAAAATGCAAAAATTTGAAACGTTTGGACATTTTGCAAACTAAAGGCAAAACGTAGTGACGATTTATGCTAATAAGCCAATATTTTATTATGTGAATGTGTTTGAAAATAAGTATGAGAATTAATTTTAAAAAGATATGAACATAGCTAAAATTACTCAAGTCCACACACACTTTTTTATGTATGATTGATTTGGATTCTACAAAGGTATGTATCATAACATTAACAGATTTGAACCAAAAGCGGTTTGATTTTTCCCATTGCAAGTTCGCAACCATCCCCTCTTCTATCCAAGGGGAAAAATCAGTACGCTGTTTTAGCTCCTGAAATTTCATTTTCTATATTTGGATCATGATTTGTACAGAAGTGACTATTAATACACCAAGAAAAAGATTGGTGTCCTCTCTTTTCCTTCCTCGTCAAGCCGTGTGAGAGAGTAGATTCCATCAACCTTCACTATTATTCCAATTTTTCTTTTCTACGTCTGAACGTCTGCGAACGACACCCACTTGAACTCAGCACCAGAAACTTGATCAAATAATGCATTGCACAGCAGTCCATTTTCCAAATATCTCTCTGAACAAAGTACTCTTATTTCATAAATGTGATAAAAATGAATATCGTCTAATTTGGCTCCCCATACGATATGTGAAGAAAGCAGTGTTGTCATCCCAGAAACGACCACAGGAAATTCGGAAAATTAGAACTTGGACGCCAAGGGAGGAGACCAAAAAGAGAATCTGTCGGAAAATTTTGCAACGGCAAATATTGGACTATACAGTTAGTTTATCAACGCTTTTGTCAATTCAGATTCAGATACTAAAACCACCTCAAGAATCATCTTATAAATAAATACTGTTTCTTTCCTGACAAGATTTTATCTATACAAAGTAGTTCTCATCTGCACGGTGGCTGGTTCTCAGCCAAACCCAAATCCTTCGTTGCCTTCGTGGATAGCAACAAGCAGCCTCTCCTCCAGATGTTGTTTGGAAGGATATTCTGGAAGATCTAACTGATTGAAACTGCAGGCAGTAAGTTAACATCAGTTACATTTTGCCCAGTAGTGCCTATGCATTCCCAGCTTGAGAACATGTTCGGCTAAGCTTAACTTACAAGTGAAGAGGTAGGTGCCTAAGATTTGCACAGGTCAAGACTTCAAAATAAATTGCTTTTTGACAGGAAGGTAGTGGTTACTTTTTTAGCCAAACATGCTCTCAAGCGTGTAGAGCGTACTAGTTGCAAAAGAAGATTACCATGTATGAGCCGAAGGCAAGTGATCCCCACTGACATATGCCTTGTGAATCTGAAATTTTTGACATCCTGAAATGCCTTGAAGCGCACTAAATCCTTCTAAAGGCACCTGAGGAATAACAACATTTTTCTCAGTACCATCACAATGATCACATGACAAACTAAACCTTTTTCGAAAATAAATAAAGGGTGGCAGTGGCACTTTTCTCCGCATCACCAGATACGTAAAATAATCTCTACCACGTGTGAAAGCATGTTTACTAAGAACACTAAGGGAGACAAATCAGAGAAAAAGAAAAGTATTTTCATGAGAAATTTAGATCTGACTGCGTAAAAGAATCAACAGATGTTTTGCCAATCACCGTTGGGGTCTCGTGAGGAAACCAAATATATTTACCCTTTGACATGAAGGAACAATCTAAAAGAATAGAGCCAAGTGTAGTTCTTACCCAATTTAAAAAAGGAAATCTCTCTGTACTACTAATACGAAGATTACATGTTCTGAAGCAAACTAAATTATTGATTCTCACAAAGGGGATTTAGGGATGGGGAAGATGAAGGTGAACCAACATTATGAGAACCCAAACGAGTTTTTGGCACTGAATAAAGGCCAAATGACAACAGCAAAAGGTTCATATACCTTTGAGGTTCCAGTGACAAATTGTAAGAGACGAGCCTTATCTTCTTTGCTGAATCCTTGAACAACCTCCCAGAACCACTGAATGACAGGAGCAGCGGCAGTATACCCAGAGTACTCCGTATTTGCCCTCAGATCATCCACTGAAAGAGATTTTTAATTGTATTAGTTGTTAACTCTAATAAGCATAAAAAATCGAAGGGGGAAGGGGGTCATGAAGAGATTAATAGATTTGCCAAAGAACAAAGGAAAAAATCAGTAGAAAACTTACAATCAATATCTGGAAGCCCACTTATAAGGAGTTCCAGTTCCTTATCATTGAAAATAGATATCAACTCTCGAGAAATTAATTCATTGAAACCTTCCAAAAAGGCATTTATCTGAGGACGAATTGCAGTTGTCAACCGATGCTCAGCAACTAAATCAACATACTGATGTTTGTTTTCCTCAGTTACTCGGATATTTCGACCACCGGGTATCAGTTCATAGTCAGTCACCTAAATAATACAACGCAAATATTTGGCAAACATATATAGAAAAAACGTCATAGGCATAAAAAGGTGAAAAGTACATACTTCAGTACGTTCGTAGAGTATCAGCTTTTCCTCATCAGCATCAATGCTGAAAGTTAGGTCTAAAACATCGCTTATATCATTCTGCAATAAGTAAAAGATTTGGATTAATGATCAATATTATAAATGTCACAAGAAAGATAAAAGGTTTCTGCACGTAGAACAAGAAAAAGAAGGGATTTCAGAAGTAACCAACCTCAAGCATCCATTTCAAATTTTTAAAGTAATCAGGGTCGATAGCTTCAATGTCATGATAAGTCACTTTAACCCCAAGGATATGCTTGTAGAAGGACCGAGTGAAATGAACATCAAGAAGTTGTCCATCAAGGAGTGCCTTTCCAACCTGTGAAATACTCATAACATTAGACACAACATTATACACAGTTCAATAAAACAGCCAGATAATGATTATTACTCACAACTCGGCCAACAAATTTGAAGTATGAGAGGTGCTCTGTTTGGTATGCAGAGTTGGGATTTGGCTGAAATGTTGATTCATTCCCAACTGTTGTGAATAATAGCGCTCCCTTATCAAAAATTACCCTGGATAGTAACTGATACCATTCCCTGGTAAGTCCACCAGCGTCAATTCCTTCCTCCCCTTGGAAATGAACAGTCAACCTTCCCTTCAAATCCTGTGCCGACCTCATGCGAAGTTGATTATATGAATCTTCAAGAATGTAAGCTCTTCTCACAGATATTCTCAGAGGGCTGTGATGATGATCATATTGATGCTTGATCTTGGATCTAAAGTGAGCCCTTTTGTTATCAAAATCAATGAAGCGAGGAACTTTAAGCATGAGTGAAAAAGTCTTCTCAAGTAACCCTGGGTTTTGCCGGATAAAAACATTAAGAAGTTTCCTGTGCTTCTCTGAGAACCTTATGAAAGCAACATTTTTCTCATCACCTTTCATAACAAGACCGGGAGTCCTTTGATGACAAACAGATGCAGCAGCCTCTTCAACATCAGAAACTGCATTGATACCAAAATCGTGTCCTGACCCTGACTGACCAGGATGCAACTTCTCACAAGTTACGAAAAAGGATTCAATGTATGGCAAAATATTCTGAGCACCAGCAGGAAGTGAAGGCATCACTCCCTGCGGTTTAGAAATAACTGTAACAGATGTTGAAGGTGACTGCTCAGAAAATGTATCTGAATGGCTCTCAATTTTGCTTATGCAGTTGCTCAGCTCTTGCCACAATGGTTCTAGAGTCACATTAATGTCCCCCACCACAGAGATGGCAGCAGCTTGCTCCTCCTCAGGGAGAATCTTTTTATTTTTGTCCTTGTCACTGAGCAAAACCACAAGAGAGCTCAAGGCTTGCAACACCCTGAACACTGGAGGTCCATGAGAAGTAGTACTAGTTAGGAGTGCTTTCTCTACTTCCCCAAAAACTTGCAACTCTTCAGTCGCACACTTGGTGAGGCTTTGAAGTGAACCAGCAAGCTCAGTGATGAATAGATGGCAATGAACAGGTGCAATAGACACCAGTTTTCGTAGTACCTCCGCCACAAGAGTATAAGCATTATCTGATAGACTGGAGAAACAAGGACACAGGATTACAGAAATCAATACCTATATAACAGTGCACGAGAAAAAATCATCACAATTACACAGTTACCAAGGAAACAAGTACAATAATACATTTCATTAATAGGACGTTATATTAGACATTCATCACTCTAGCATGAGCACTCCTGTTTCCTAGTCAAAATTCAGTGAGTACTACAGTACTTGGCAAACACAGGCAAGCAGTGTACAACTAGAACAATCACTTACGATGTACAAGGCACAAAACTATTGATGCCTCTTACAATGACTTTCAAAAGGAGATCATCCATGCCCATTATATTGCCTATATACATATATACCCCACACACACCCATAAGACAGATACACATACACACACAATTGAGAGCGTAACATCCAGAAACTTCAGCAAATCTCAATCTACAAAGTTCGTAGAAACATTTCAATATTTATCATATTATGACCCATTGAATAGCAGCATGTCCTGTCATGGACTCCAGCTGAGAAAGTGGAGCTGAGCAGCACTGTATCAGCTATCAACAGTGACAATCAATTTCGTTTCAGATTGACAATCAGCCCATTCGCACAAACACAGCTAGATGTTAAGCCTCCGTTTGTCAAATTTATAAATTCTTTATAAAGAGGAATAGTAGTGGACCCCATGAGATGTGTGGATAATAATGAGTAGCAATTATGACAGTGGTTGAAATTAGTCTTTGACTTTGACTAAATTTATAAACCATTTATAATTTTCTATCTAAACGGTGTATAATAGTTTCCTGCATTACCATCTAATGTTGTAAAAGGAAAGCTTAGATATTACATCTTACCTTTCATGTGAAAGAAGTGAGCACAGAAGTCGAAGTTCTGTTAGCGGCAGATTAAGCAGAACACTGAGAGTATCATGCCCTCTATCTGCACCAGATACCAAGGCTTTATTAGTAACATCACCCTCTGCCAAAGTAGATCCAGTGCCAGTATTAGCCACAGCATCTGGTGTGGAGGTCGGAGGACCTGAAATGTGTTCTGTTGAAGATGCCCCTGGGTCATCAGACGAATTTAATTTGCTTTCAACACTGCCAATGATGACGTCTAATAAATTTAGCAGCTGAAACATAGATCGAAAGCACAATTAGAAACTGTCCCAACAGACAAATTTAGTGGCAAATACTAATAATTGTTTGTAAGCTATTACCTGTTCCAAATGGGCTATACTTCTTAAATAAAGTGATTGACTCAAGAGGCTTAAAAGCAATGCGAGTGATGCATGTCCATCTTGGTGTTCCTCATCAACCACCATAACTGCTTTGCCTCGACCAGAGCTTGGTGACTCCATAAGAGATGGTTGTGGCAATTGAAGCTCAAGCAATAACTTCGCAACCAAAGGATGATTACGAGCCAAATACGTGAGAGTCTCCAGAACACGGCGAGAGACCAAAGGTGGAACACCTATTAAGAGAAATAAGATAAATGAAAGCGCATATCTATTTTTCTTCAGAACAGGATATCAAAGATCAGGACGTTGAAAAAACAAAGATGTCTAGATGCTTGAAATCATGTATGAAGCTGCATAAATTTATCTTCCACTTTCTGACCTTCTACTAGCCCCCGCTGAAACTTGATAAAGCTTCAGGAATCTTAACACCAAAGTTATGTTCAATATTAGCATACTGAAAAAGAATCTGCATTCTTAAAACATTCTTCATGAGGACCCTGCTGAGCCTTACATTCTACGAGAACCAGATTTTATATTCACAGAAGTAGCAAATTTTAGTATATGCAACATTTGCCCAAAAATGATTAAAACTACTAAAATTAAACAGTTAAGTAATTTATTAAATTTTTAAAACTCCAGCTTCCATCTCACTTGAGCTTAGTATTTCGCATGCAAAAGTAACCAAACATTTGCCCAAAATTTATTAAAAAATAAGAAAAGAATCCTTACCTTCAACATTCTGAGGACGAGAATACATGACATGACTCTGGCAAGCATACAATCTATAAGGGGCCTCCGCAGCATTCAGATAATTCGATGATTTTCTTTTATCAATCAACAATAAGTCCATCAGGATTTTGACCAAATCAGTTCTGGTTTCAACATGAGCACATAGATTCAAGAGAAGTCTCTGTTCGCTTTTATAAAGTGGCTGTAAGAAATTACAAGAATTAATACTTTTAAATCTACAATGAACATCATCAAAGTATTCAAACATTCCATACAGATACCTGAACTACACGAAGCAACCTAATCAATGATTTCAAACCTTCTGTGTCAACTAAAGGTGACCCATCCGCCTCAACCAGCTTACTCCCCATTGATCGACGAGCAAGGAGTCCCCCTGCTCTATCCGAACCATCACCTCGTCTAGAAGATTCACCCCTGCGGTTTCTAGGATGCATACCAAAGAGTGTTTGGTTATATCTGCGTGCAAACCTTTCGCGTAACATGTTTGCTTCCGCAACAAGAGCAGGCGTCAGATTTGCAAGAATAGCATCAGATGAAGTTAAAAGAACCTGAGAGAGAGAGAGTACAATCAGCAGACATTAAAACCACATCTGATTACTCAGGTAAATTGAAAGAAATATAAGAAATAGAAAAGCCACAAGTCACAACTGATAAAATACCTCTTCTCGAATGTCGGAAGGAAAAGTAGCAATTATTGAGACTGTGTCCATCTCAACAGGTTGACCCTCTAATTCTTGTGACTGGTGCAGTCTTTGTGCCCGTTGTTGCGTCAGAACTTCTTCCCGGATATCAGGGGGAAGTGCCGCAAGAAATTCTGGATCAATATCACCAGTGTTTTGTGGCTCAGTATTTTGAGGCTGCAGTGCTTGATTCTGCTGAGCAGAAAGAACTTCAGCCCGCAACTCCACAGGAAGTGCATCTAGAAATGCAGGATCAATTGATCTAGAATCAGCATCATCATTACGATGTTGCTCCTCAGATGCACCACCTTGTTCTGCTTCTTGGATCGGATCTTCAGAAACTTCAGTGACACTACGAAGTGATGCATCTCTCCCGCCCATTGGAGTATTATTTCCAAATGATACACTTGGTCTCCTCATTCGAGTATCACCACCACCTTGTCTTTCTACACTGTCATCATGACCATCAGCACTTCCAATTTCAACATCAAGACTTCGTAGGCTCTCCCCTAAAGTCGCCCCACTTCCGCTACTCTCTTGGCTCACTGCTTCAACATCCCGCACAACGTCACTATGGTCATACTGCATTTCAACAGATTGAGGTTGTTGGCTTGATGTTTCTGCACCATGGACAGATTCATTTGCAACGGCCGTGGTATTGTCACTCCTAGAGTTGTCCAATATTTCTGCAGAGGGAACAGGTGGATAACCACTATCAACATTGCCATGGTTCTCAACTGGTGTTTCAGACATCATTACGGCTGAATCAGGGGACTCACCAACTTCACCTTTGTTTTGTGAGTCAATTGTTGTGTCATCATTGGAAGATTTCTCAGGGATTGGGCGTGTCATGCTGGATACAAGAAAATCCTCAAGACCTGGGGGAATGGCAGACAAATTTGATCCACCACTTAGCTGGTTTTCATTGGTCCACAAATTAAATCGGTGTCCTTGACGTCCATTTCGCAGTGTCCGAAAAAATGAATTTAACTGAGATGAGGGACCTTCCAAGTTCCTGTCCAAGTTAGCATTGCGGACATTCTCTGTAAAGAGGGAGGAAAAGGAAAAACAGATGCCATGAGTAAAAATTGGCTGTTCTAAAGACTGGATGCAACTTTCAGAAATTTAGCAGCGCACAAACATTTACACAAGTTGATAAAAGTATATACTGAGTAAAGAAGACAATTAATAGGAAGCAAACCTGTGTGTCTTGGAGGATCTGCATCAACTGAGGATGGCGGTTCCACCAAAAGCGGATGCTGGGAAGGTGCAGAGCTATCAACATTTCTGCCCATGAGATTATAGATGGATGTACTACGACCCTGGCGTCTGGATCCAAAAATTTCAACGGGCATTACGTGGAGAGTTTCACTGCTAAAGCTATCTCTGCCAAAAAGCTCTATATGGTCAAACACATTTATCCCATTCATTTCCTCCCCCAGCCTGAGTATAACAGCATCCTCGTCATCCTCATCGTCATCATCCTCTTCCTCCATTATCTCCTCATCAAACTCGTCTTCATCATTTTCATGGTCATCATGATCTGTATCAACATGTGGCAGATGATGTGGTTCATCATCTTCGAGGTCATTGTGTTGTTCATCATCACCATCTTCATCTTCATCAACTTGATCCCCTTCATCCCCTGACATCTCATCGTCATCCTCATCATCAAGATCCACTTCTACATTAGGTCGAATTTCAAATCTTATGCCTACAGTATCAAGGCTATTTTCAAGATTTCTGATGTTCTCGGAATTTTCATGCATGTAATCATCTTCAGCAGCCGCAAAGCTGCCATCAATATCCTGGTCGTGCTCCATATCATCTGTGACAGCCTCAGACCCACCATAAATCTGGTTTGCGCTAGAAGATTCTCTGCTGTTATTTGGCCCTGAATTTTCATTAGCTTGGTTTGTAGTTTCCATGGATTGCGACATGCTACCACCAGCATTATCTTCCCTAGGCTGACTGTTATCAGTAGGTTTTGTCAAACGCTCCCCTCTTCCAGTGTTCAACTCGAACGCATGGATATGTTCCTTGGTCACAGACTCCAGAACTTTAAGAAGCCCTGTCACAACCTTGGGCGAATCGGCATGATCCAGGTCTATCACACGAAGTGTTCTAGTAAATGATTGAACCAGACCAGCCTCTATAAAAGTAACAGAAGCCTCTGCAGATATGGATGAACCTGTCGGCGATCGAGCAGCTAGTACATCATTAAGCAGGCAAGCAAGAGCCTGAATATCAACTCCTGGTGCCCTAAAACCACTAGAAGAATCAACAAAATCATTGAAAGCATTGTTGATCTCTGTGAAGATTCTTTTCCTTGCCTCACTGGAGCGAACACATGATGCTACCAGGAACTGGTTGGCTCTGCTGGCCAGTTTATGCCGCCAGTCCACATCCATTTTTCTCTCCTCCTTAGAATTTTCAGAATATGGTAAGAATTTATAAAGAACGTGTTGAAAAATTCCACCACTGCTGCAATCTGCGGCACCCCGTTGAGGAATACCACGGTAACTGCAAACTTCAGCATCCTTCCGGATTAAAATATGAATAGATGATGCATACATCAAAAGAATATCCGTCAGGAGCTTCAATATAAATACAATCTTAGCCATGGATGCATAAGAATCTTGACTGTTGGCTTCATTCTCTTCAGATGCAGGCACAATACCTTTTCCTTTTCCCTTGCTTGTAGAAACATCAATATCCATATCGGTTGATGAGCTAATTTTGATCACAGATTGATCCTTCAAAGGAGGTAGAAAAGATATTACTGAATCCAACAAAAGATCAATCACACTTACAAAACTCTGAGGAGGTTTACGATGGATCTTGAAATTCTTAAAATTTGTATCAGGGTGCTTTCCATGCCCACTGCCAACACCACTCTTCCCATCATTAATTTGCTGTTTATCTTTCTCCTCATTTTTCTCTTTCTCCCTCCCTCTCTCTTTACATTTATCCTTGTCACGGTCTTTCAGCAAGACAATATACGGCCTATCACCCACCATTTCAACATGGCACACGGACTTAGCAGCTTGCATAAAAATCACTGGATCCCGTTGAATGACTGAAATTAAATTAGACAGAAAATTGCGGGGTGTTAGCCTTCCAGTGGACTGTCTGTTATTAGCAGTGGCAACACTATGCCGTATCTCAGACTCCATAGCTTGCTGCAGGGTTTGGGAATCTTCGAGGATGTGTCGTATTATGATAGCAGCAACATTGTCAAAGCCAACAAACAAGCAAGTTGTTGGCAAGGAAAGAAGTAAGCGTAATCCCCCGGCTTCCAGAAAACTAACAGCAACCGAGTGATTTCTCGTAAGAGTAGAACAGAGCTGCAATGCAGCATGCATTGTTTCTGAAGGTAGTTGTTTCCTCATGCAACCACAAATTATTTCAACAAGCCGATTTTGCTCCTGTATATCCAAATGCTTTGGCAATATCCCCAAAGTTGTCCGCAATTTGTTCTGCTTGTCATCGTCAATGACAAGAGATGGTTGGCTGCCAACATCATTCTTCTTCAACAGTTCTAATATATCAGCATTTAACTTTATATCCACTTCTGAAAGCCGATCAAGGGCAATAAGAGCTGAAGTCACCCATTTCGGAACTTGAGATGTTTCTCCATCATGTGAACTAGAATTCCACAGTGAGAGCAGATCAGATGCAACTTTGACCAAACCACTCTTGGAAGCTAATTCTCGTGCAGCTGAATCTTCATTAAGAATTAGGGCAAGAACATGAAATGAAGAAGAAAGCATGTTCCTGTTTCCGCTGTCGGATATGCCACCACAAAGCTTCACTTGTTCAATGATAAATGAAATGACTCTTGGTCTTTGCTGACCTTCATTTTGTGAGCAAATCATCATCAGAAGATCTCTAACAGGGAATGCCAAGGAGTCTTTCATTTGAAGAAGTTTCCTACAAGTAGCCAATAGCTCATCAACTGGAGGGAGTTGCACCAGTTCCTCTTCAATGGTCTGACTGTTTTCACTTGCAGCATCTTCCTTTAAGTTTGATCCAGCGTTCCCAAGGGACATTGCTAGTGCACGTGCAAGTTCATCATCTTCAGGGATTTCCTCAGGATGTGAAAACAACCATTCCATTGCAAGCTCTACACTATCTGAACCAACCTGCCTCAGGGCCTCTTCAGCTCGAGACCTGGAAAACCCCATCTCTACAATCATTGAAATTGTTGACTCATTCGGTGGTGGCCCAGCCACCCGGCCAGCATTATTATTAACATTTTTCACTTCTACACCAGAGAAGATGTGCCTCACGATGTTAACAACTCTGGCAATAAACTCATAACTGCATTCTGGGAATTGTGGGTGGGTCCAAACAGGAAGCAGAGCCTTCAGCACCATGGAGTGAAGAATCTTCACAAACGTTTCTGCATCCCGAGGAAATGGTGCACCCCCACTAACTAGAGGCTGGGTGAGCAAATGCTTTGTAAAGGGAGATAATATAAAAGATGAAGTCACCAAGTGGTCCATAAGTTTACCATAGCTAGCCAAGGGTCCATATATCCATAAGCTATCTGTTTCATCTATTTGATCTTGCCTCCCCTCATCAGTCTCCATGGGAGATGCAGGAGTTCTGTTGACGGCAAAAAGTAACTGGCTTGTAGCTTCAAATGTTGTCAAGACTGATTGTATTACCCCTTGTCCATACAAGAAATTTAGTAGAACAGGATTACATGAATCAGGTTTGTCCAGAAGCATGCCATCAATGAAATTAATAACCTTGCCGAAGTAGCGACACTTGGTTGAAACAGATATCTCTGATCCAGAAGGGTTGGCATGACCCCCAAAATTCATGTGGTCTAAAGCTATCGAAGCAAAGGTAGAAGCCACTGATTTTGAAGGAGCAGACACATTTAGCATATCATCCCGACGACGAGACGGAAGTAGCATCACCTTTCCCAACTCTTGAAATAAATGGGTTATGTGAATGGATAATGATCTTACCATATCACAACACGAGTGATAGTAAGATTTCTGCTTGTCGTTATCCTTTCTGGCACACATTTCAGTTCCATCAGATGAAGTGGACAGAGGTGATTCGTGACTGGCTCCCAGCCACGAACTTGAAGGTCCATCTATATTCTGTCGTTGTTGAGAGAGATCACGATAAAGATTTATAAGATCGAAAAACTGGGATTCAAAGCTCCATCCAGAAGTCCGCCTTCTAAGTGAAGGATCAAGAAACCGCCTGACGGTATTCAACCTGTGCTCTTCAGTATCATTTGGAGACAGTTCTGGCGATGGTGAATTCTCACCAGTACCAGTAAAGTCTACCTCTGTATCAACCTTAGCATCTTCGAGTTGAGCAATTTGCCATAGAACTTCACGCTGAATAAAACCCATATCTTCCAGAACATCCTTACTGCCATTACCAAATTCTGTGAGCAATGCAGTTACCCAGCGATTATCCTTTGAGGCAGCTAAAAATAATAGGAATTCAACAAGAGAGAGGGATGAAAATACAGTGCTGTCTGGAGTGGTCTTAGGTTCCAGAAGAAAGGAAGCAGAGACCGCACTGAACGCTGTCAATGTTCTCTTCAGATGATCTCTGAGTGTAGAACAGAAGGCACGAGCCAAAGGAACGGAATGATGCTGAGTAAAACTCTTAAATACCAAGGTGCTATGCAATGCTATGGACATTCCATCAGTTGATTGAGTAATACTTGGGCGTAACAGAAGTTTGAATAAAGCTTCAATACCCGACTTCTCCACAAATAACCGACATGTTTCAGAATTTACTATTGTCCTGTGAACAAGCACCATCACATGAAAGATACACAGCTGCATAAACTGCTCATCACTGATGCCTTCAACCAACAAATTTTTCTCATCAGGGGAGCGGGAGCAAGTGCCTAAATTTTTTCTGTCCTCAGAATCCATGGAATCCATTACCATTGTGTTGTTTTCATTCTCTTTCGCTGCTGACCCAGAACAAGTACTCTCTCCAAGCAATGCAATCTTATTAACAATTTCAATGATAAGATCAACACCACTACCTCTCAATGCAGATACGTGCCGTAATAGCTCTTCCAGAGCATTCGCCAAAGGAACAATACCCTCATTCATTGCCATCACATACCTTTTGTCGGTGAATATATCTATGAGGAAGCGTAAAGCCGAAGTTTCTCTCACTGCCTCTAAGCCCTTAGCATTGAGGCAAATTGCACCGAGGCCATTGAGAATGCATGTAATGGCTTTTGAAGATGGAAGTATACCAGCCGACACTGATGATAAAAATGCAGCAGGAAGACCCAATTCATGCAAGACATTAAAACAGGTTGGGTCTTTGTGAATCATTTCACTCATAAGAGTTACAGCTGAGGAATAAATCTCACCTCCAAACTTTTCCATGTTACTGAAAATCATTAACAAAGTGGGAGTCAAAGAAACGTCATAAGAATTCTGTGATCTACTAGAATTTGCTGCAGCATATGTCGCAGAACCAAGTGCCTTCAACAGCGCCCTGATGAGTCTCTTCTGAGCATAGAACTGATCATCACTGTATTTATTACATTCACCAATTGTCATAGTATTGTTCTCTGCCTCAGCCAAGTCAATCACTCTTTGCACTTCAATCTGCAATCTGTAAACCAAAAGCTCTACTCCACCCAAATCTTTGAAAAGCGTTACTGCTGTATTGCTGTAATCCATGAGCTTCTGCAGAGTCTTCACAGCTAAATACACAAGATGCACGTGTTTAAGATCTGAATCTTCCAAAAGCGGTAAAAAGGTCGGCACCATCCCCGACCCCCGAATGATGCTTCCAGTACTTGAAGAAGACATTACATGTAGCATGTAAAACTGTAGAAGTGCTTCAACAAAGGCAAGAGATGACAGATCACTGGAGTTTTTCAATGACAGGATTGCTCTTTGCAGTACATTTAAGAGGATCGTGCGATTACCACCGGCAAAACTGATGCTTGATCCACTTAATATACGTGCACGTTCATGAGATGCCGAATATGCAGCTAACAATGCTCCCAGAGCTGTCATTGCAAATGTTCTTATGCTTCCAGAAATGATTTCTTCAGACCTCACAATTCTGATTAATTCATTTGAATATTCTGGCTCATTTGCAAAAAAAGAAACAAGTTCATCATGTGAATCACCAGACTGTACAAGCACAATGAAAGAGAGAAGACAAATCTTGCTGTAAATCCTGCATATTCTGGGAGAACGGAGGGCATGTGCATATCTGATTCTGGTCAACAATGAGAACCTATGCTCTGCAGGTACATTATACTGATCAATGCACAACTTCATTAGTGACAGGTCATCCTCTTTCCGTAAGTGAAGATCGGGGAGATTAATCACACTCATCCCAGAAGAAAGTGTGTCATCATTAGGTTCTGAAATGCTGTGAGAATTGGCACCATGCAGTTCAAAGTAAAGTGCTGACCCAATGCGATACTGTAACTTGTCCTGATCACTTTGCACACCAACCGGAAAGAGATTTAGACCTTCCTCTGGGGTCCTCTCATGTAGGGTGACACATGAATACAAACCCAGGCCTTCTTCTTTTGTACCCCATCCCTGTGCAAGAGAAAGGAGATGGCTGTTCACAGACCCACAGCCAACCAGCTTTCCATTTGCATGTAGCTTGGACGGAATTATCTTCACTAGGGCAGATAGTGTCTCCAAAGCTGCAACAACAATTTCAGGATCTGTTGATGCAAGCAAGAGCCTGAAATGCTGAAGAGAGAGAAGAAAATTAGGACAGATAACTTAATGCAGGATTGAGTTTCTCGTCACACATCAGGATACAAAAAAGCAGAGTGAACTTTGTGTCTTCTCCTTACCTTTCTCATTTTTTTTTATTGGAGGGGGGGGGGGGGGGGGGGGGGGGGTTAGTTTATTTACACAAAAATCAGGTATTATTAATTCCCCCTATTCAATTAAAAATCATATTCATTTTACCCAAGTTTGAAACCTGATTCCTGTCCCTTTCTTCTCTCTTCTCGATGACGCATTTAACCATTGCAAAGGCGATGAAGAAAATGCGTCTTTACAATGGTTAAATGCATCGATGCTGACGTGGGCACGTAGAGGTGAAACTGTTGATTTTCGATCTGCTGCTTTGGGCCGTATTTGAATGGGTCATCATTCACAGCAGCATGGCGATCTGCTGTTCACAGTCGTCGTTGACTCCCTTTTTATTTTTCAATCTGTTGTTCTCTCTCTATACCCTCTTCCTATCGCCATCATCATTGAGAAGCGCCCATCGCTTGCTATGAATGGCGACTCTTAGTTTTGCAGCTAGTTTGTGGTGGCGACTATGGTAGTTGTTGAATTTCGTGGTGGTGGTGCGATCTTTCGATATGTTTTATTGCGTTTTTTAGGTGGTGATTGTGGATTTTTTTGTGGGGGTGATGTAAATGGAAATAAAGGAAGTAGTGGTGCTGGTGTGCTGTGGGTGGTGCGTTGTACAGTGGTGGTGTGGTGACGTTAGAGCATCGTGGTGCTCATGATGGTGATTGCAGGAAGCAGTGATACTTATGTTGGTGAGGTGATGGTGGATTCGAAGGCGGTGGGCCTAGCCAAAAAAAAAAAAAAAAAAAAAAAAAAAAAAAAAAAAAAAAAACTTTATCCAACTACAGTAAAATTAATCATATTTTCAGTGTTTAGCTTACCTCTAAGCCACTAAAAGAACCCTTATTGTGGCAATTTTCTAGAATGAATTGCATCACTCGCAGAATTTGCAGAACTGGTTGTTTTGGGAATGGGCAAACATCACCTAAAAGATTATCGGACAGGAGAAGATCGTTTCTGTTGGATAAATGTGTCTTGAAATATGTGTCAAAATGCATAAATAATGGTCTCCAGTGATGGAAGTTCCCCTGGAACGAAGCAAAATATCAGTAGAAAGCCAATGAACCACAGGATAAAAGTAACTATAATCAGGACTAATCACCACCTTGCCAAACTCCCAACGAAAACCAGATAGAGGTATTGCTATGTCTTGTAATGGACATTGAATCACCTTGTCAATAAATGCCTTTATTCTCGGAGGCTGTGAAAGAAAAACACAGTCAAGGTTCATGGACTAGGCAAGAAAAGGACAGATTACATAAAAATGGTAAAAGGCCATCTTATCTCCAAGTCAGATCTCAGAGGAGATAACAAAAATCGTACAGCTTGATATTTTAATAATTACAGAAGTTTGATATCAATGCTTAAACCTGACAAATTAATTTCAGCTAGATCACTATGTCATCCCACTAATAGAGTACAAAAGCTTACTCGAAATTATTGTTGTAAATGTGATCGTCAAGATCATAATGAAGACAGTAAGTACAGCTAATGGATTGATAAGATGAAATACCATTGGACAGAGATGAATTGTTGTGAATTCAAATACAAGAAACATAAAATCAAATGAATTCGCAGCCAATTATCATGTTAGAAATAAAAAGCAAAGTCAATTAATGCCCTGTTTGAGCCACATTCTTTCAAAAAAAATTAAATTCTCAAACAATGATTTGACATCATTTCAACCACACATTCTTAAATAAAATAATATTATACGCAAATCCAAAATTTTTCCTTATTTTTTTATCGAACATTTTCCATGAATATACTATTCAAAAATGCATTCTTACGCAAATAATGTGGCTCAAACAAGGACTAAATATAGCCAACATAACCCATAAAACGCAATATAATAAAATACGCGTATGAAGAAGCAACGGTGTCTCGCCAGTTCAAAAAAGATGATATACATATATTTTAATGCCTTACATACTAGTATATTTGGAAATCAATGGACTAAAAGTTAATACCATCAGGTCAAAGATTCTTCTGAGTACATTGCTATCAAAGAAGCTGAATGTATCGTGAACTCATCAATTGCTATATGAACAATTTGTTTATTACAATAAACCAGGATTTTTAAATAAGAATTCCAGTCACTCCCCCGACCATCCCACCTCCGAAAAAACATGAATATATCAATCAAAAATTTCGTCCCATTTTTTATTTGAAGTTTTCCGCTTTTATATACTTTAACCTATTTTTGACTCATGTTTATAAACAATTTTTAAAAACTCAAGCACTTTTATCCACTCATTTCAAGACACAAAAGTACTACATACTTATCAACCACTTATTTCTATCTATTTATAATTCAAATGGTTCATAAACACTTTTCAAACATGCTTTTAGTTTTTTAGCCACATATAAAAAAATAAAAATAAAAACCTAAAACGGGCATTTGTAGACAAAATTATATTTGGTTTTTCTCAAAATGTCTTTCAAATTTTAATATGTTGGAAGAAAAGATTGATGTTTTAATTCTTTTATATGGCCATCAGGTAGAGACAAATTAAATATGATTATCTTGTCTCCTTATTCAACCCCCTCTTAATCATTTTCTTGTTCTCCTAAATTTTCCTCCCCCAGATTCAATGAGGAGATATTTTATCGGCCATATCCATATTCAGTTTCGTTGCTAAGGCAGCACTGTATTAGTCTTCACATTTTATTCATTTCTTACGTTCAAAAATTCAAGGGAGAATGTTTCCAAGTAGCTTCTTGCCTTCATATCATGGTAGTTACTTTACAGATAAAATAGAAAGCTAGACGCAATTACAGTTTCAAGAAAAACTTCAGTGAGTTATCAATTAACTCCTCCAGGCAGAATTTGAAATCAAAACAGAACCAAATACATCCCCATTCAAATAAAATACTTAACAATTCCAAGTAGCTTCTTGCCTTCATATCATGGTAGTTACTTTACAGATAAAATAGAAAGCTAGACGCAATTACACTTTCAAGAAAAACTTCAATGAGTTATCAATTAACTCCTCCAGGTAGAATTTGAAATCAAAACAGAACGAAATACATCCCCATTCAAATAAAATACTTAACAATTATAAAGTAGAAAGAGGGTCCAATGCCTCCAATCAGTACCCATTTGGCCCAAATATGTCTCGAGGCATGAAGTGTTAATTTGACTCAACATAAATTCATAACTATATAAGAAGTATTAACAAGAAGAGAGATTTCAGATTTCCATTTAATTGACCAGAGGAACCAAATACAACATAAAGAGCATCTACCACCCATACCTAAACCAATCAATGCAAACATGAAAATAAGCATATGAAACCTCTCGTCAAGCGTGAATCACAGCACATTTAAACAAATTTATTTATTTATTTCCGACATAAAAACAGAAAATATTATTAACCGTTAAATATAAATTAATATTTATCAGATATCACAATTATTATGCAATACAACCATTCGTGTTTAAATTTTTTATCCAACCCTGCGCACACCCATTTCCCCTTCCCTCCAACCCCCATCATTCATAAATAATTTTAAAAAAAAAAATCCAAAAAAAAAAATGATTAAGTGAATAGAAAAACGTGCTCCTGGACAAAACTGAAAGCCAATCTATAAAACATATTTTCTTTATTATTTTAATTATCGAACCCCAAAAATTCAGGGAATAGTAATGGGCCTATTCGCCCGCTAATAATTACTACAGAACAAACGTCAATTGGAAACTACACTCATACATAAATGCGTACATACACGTATTCATAAAGCTAGGGAGAGATACTAAGAGAAATAATACAGGCTCAGAGTCGAGTTTAACAGAGGGACCGATAGCTCCTTCACTAGAGAGCAGTTGGCGTAGCCTGGATGGCAAGCTTGATCTTACACTAGCCATTTTAACCTCCGCAACTCTTGTTTACTGCAATAAAAACAAAAACACAAAAGCCAACCAAGAATCAGTATCAGAATCTCATTTTTATAAACAAATAACATCAAATTTCATTACTACAGATGAACCCGTGAATCAAAATTGAAAACCAAATAATTAATACTTCAAAAAACACTAATATAAAGCCAAAGTATGTGTGTACAAAAGGGGGGCTGACCTGGTGGAGATAAAGGGGGGGCGTTGGATGCAAGCACATCGAAAGGGTTTGGACTGTACAAAGAGGGAAATTAGAGAGACAAAAGTGTATCTACTTATATATATGGTTTATTGTGTGTAGAATTCGATTGAAATCGAAACCCTTGTAGAGAGGGGAGAGGGCGGAGTTACTGACACAATAGTCATTTCCACCGCAATGTCTTCTCTGAAATTTATAGGGTTATAAGGCGGTTTTGCCATTTGGTCCTTCATCTTCTTGAATGTTCATTTTTACTCTGTCAAATGGTTTCATTTTCCTATGTTGGTCTCTTTTATGTTCTTTATCTATTTTTCTTTCTTTTGACTTTTTTTTTTTTTTTTTTTTTTTTTGGTTTTTTTTTTTTTTTTTTGTGACTTAGGTGTCCGAGTTTTGCCCAATTAATTCTAGGGAGTGACAGTCTTCCCCCTTGATTAGCCATCAAGGTAAATTCAAATACGATCATATTTTATACATACTTAGGTCAAATATTCGGGATGCAATTTTTCTTCTTGTGAACCTCCCTTTACGACAAATGGACAAATCCTCGGAGGAGCGACAAAACACACTATAACTTTGCCTCCACAAGACATATGTCTTCCAACATAAATGTTGTCTTTTAACTGTCGCGTGGATTAGAATTTTCGATACACTGTAGAAAACCCTCCTACTTTACTATTGTGCCATGTCAATGAGGCTTCTTTTGACTATTTTCATTGATACTACTATTGTCATTCAACATCCTCTTTTAACTTTTGATGATTGCATAAAAAGATAAAATGATGCTTCATAGATCAAAACTACAAGAGCTATGTTACGTCATTTTACATTTTATGTAAAAATATAATAGGAAATATAATGCTCACAATTTCTATATTTCATTAAGATATTTAATATTATTTTTTAAGTGTGCATTTACATCATATCTAAATTTATTTTCTAGTTCTCTCTGATTTTATGTTTAATTGAACTTTAGTTTATATTTTTATGGTTATTGGTTGCAATCATAAGTAAAGTGGGGATAGTGTGGGTTATATTCCTCGCCAAGGATTTGTGCTTGTCGGTTGGATTGAATATTGAAAACAGCGGATCTGATAGTTGACGATCGTTCGATTCCACCTACTATGTGAAGGGATCTCCATGACGTGAGTTAAACATATAGCTGATTGCTCTTTCTTTTGATGTTGCATTGGTACTTTTTTTATCGTAACACTACAAGCAATCAAACAAAAAAAAGTCTATGATAAACAAACAAATTCACAATAAAACAAGTTTAGCCATGTTTGTTATAGATTCTTAAAATTTGTTTTTCTTCAAATTCATTTTGAACCACATTTTTGTAATAAAATATTTTAATAGTGGACTCATAACTATTTTTAATATTTAAAATACTTTTTACAAAATTTATTCTCAAAAAATCTACATCAAACATGTCCTTATTGATGATACATTGATGAAAATTAATTGAAAACCAATTCTAAAAGAGTAGCAGATTTCTGGAGGTATTTTATGACCTAGGAGTGGAGCAAAGACAACCTATCCTACTGTTAGGAGTGCCTACCCAATAGGTGATGAGATGGGAGAGGGCTCTCCATTTGCTTCCAATGTTGGCTATTCACCTTTAATTAAGAGGAATCTCAATAGATAGTTTCAATTAAAAATTTGCAATCAGAGTAGCGTATGACTCAAACAAGTCAACTTTTGGAAGATAAAATACTCAACATAATTTAAAAAATTGTGGTAAGATAACTTTATCTCTTTAGGAATTCAAAGTTGACCCTCGGATATAAAGATGCTGCTCAAATCGAGGGGCTAGAAGCTGTTTTGAAACTATAATTTACAAGCTACAGTTCATTCAACAAGAGCAAAAAAGAGAAATTAGTGCTCACTTCTAGCTACCCATTCTATCAACTCCCACTCCAATGTAGGAAAAATGCTATATTCTTTTCTTTTTTATTGTGGATGTGTTAATTATACATTTGTATTTCACATACAATTCAATTTTCAACAATGAGTTGATTCACTAACATAGCAGAGTCGAAAGGGGAAAAAAAAATTGTACAGAACTAATACATCGAAAAAAATTCCGTAAAACATTTTTTTAGCTATGAAAAATTAAATGGCTTCCCTCTCTCCGACCCCGTTCACTGAGCCATTGAAGTCTTTGACAATTCTCTTAACTGTTGAATTTAACTATAATCATGCTAAGAATCAAGAATCACAAAATAATAAATTAATAAATGTAATTCATACCTGCGGAAACCGTCGTTGATATGAATAATAGCAGCTAGTTCTTCCACTCCTTGCTCCTCACAAAGTATTAGACGTCAATGGAGCAAGCTAATAAAACAATATTGAGAAGAGAGGGGACTTAGCCTTTATATAAAAAAATTATCAAGCCGTCTCATTACGACTTAAACTCTAATTAGGGTTTACATATATTTCCTACCCACTACTTAAAATTACCACATCATGTTAAATATAACCGTAAGGTAATTTATTTTGGCCCAATCACAATATCATTATGAGTCATACAGTTAACTCGTAAAATTTATAATCGAATGTGAAGCTCATATTTGGAATTATTCTAATATTCTCCCACTTAGGCAAACATTTATTGCTATAATAAAACATTTAACACCCAGGTTAGACTTCATAGGTGGCCACAAAAGTATAGCTTCAATGATGACACATTACACAACATGATCTGATCCAACAAGAATCTTAACACCGAAGATGGAAGTCATTACACCAATTAAGCGATATAAGACCATTCCACAACTACAAATGTCAACATCTTTATCGATATGGATCCCCTTCCTCCAACCAATGTGGTAGTATATAGTATGAATTTAGCACCAACTGTGATAAAAATCGTGCTAATTCATATCGGTCATCATGCTTCAAATCAAAATGAAGTCACATGTCTCCAAAAAAAACTTATCTTATGTCTCTATCTATCATATCTCGATATTGCAATAATATCATAATTAAAGACATTAGTCAAATAGATGCTCAAAATAATTCGTGGATAAAGGAAAATATATTTTATTATTGAAAATGGGTTGTACCCAAAAAACATAAGGGTTGCCTATATATCCCATAAAGGGATCAAGCCTAAAACATAGTTCTTTTACATGTATATAACTCCCACTAACTAAAAATATCAAATGTTTTCACAATGCTCATATTAGCAACATGTGTCTTAAAAACTTTTGAAGCGAGTCCCTAGTCAAAGGATTTGCAATCATAGCCTCTGTATTTATATGCTCTATATTCATCTGTCATTTCTTGACTCTGTCTCTAACCACCAAATATTTGATGTAAGTATGTTTTGATCCATCAAAACTTTTATTATTCTTTGAAAAGAATATTGCTGCTCTGTTATCACAATAAATAGTGATTGGTTTCGAGATAGAATCAACAACTTTCAACCTAGAAATGAAATTTCTTAACCAAACAACTTGGACTGTAACTCCATAACATGCTACAAATTTAGTTTGCATAGTAGAAGATGTCACTAGAATCTATTTAGCACTTTTCTAAGAGATAGCACCACCACTAACTTATGAAAATATAACCTCAGGTTGATTTCAAATCATCTTGACATCCAGCAAAATTAGAATCTAGTAGCCTGCCACCTCAAGATATTTGAACGCTGGAATGTAAGCATAAACCTTCAGTTTTCTTCAAGTATCTCATAACTTTCTTAGTTGCTTTCCAATGCTCTTGTCTTGGATTTGAATGAAACCTGCTAAGGACACTGATTGCGTATGCAATATTCGGTCTAGTGCAAATTTGAGTATACATCAAACTCCCCACAGCACTAGCATATGGTATCATCTTCATAGATTCTCGTTTCCAACTCATTCATTAGATATTGAGTTTTGTTAAACTTATCCCATTTTATAATAGGTACATCACTAGATGCACGATTCTACATATTGAACCATTCTAATATAACCTTTTTGAGAAAGTACCGGCAAGCCACGATGTCTATCACAATATAATTCAACGCAAAGTATATAAAAGGCTTCTCCAAGATCTTTTATCTCAAAATTAAAAGACAACATTTTTCTTTATCTCGTGAAGTAACCCGAAGTTATTGCTAGCAAGCAAAATGTGATCAACATATAGGACAAGAAGAATAAAAAAATTTCCAATGTTTTTGGGAAAAATGCATTGATCAACTGTATTTTCAACAAAATCAAGAGAGGTGACAACCTTGTTAAATTTCAAATACCACTGTCGTGATACTTGCTTGAGGTTATATAAGGATTTTTTTTTAACTTGCATACGAAGTTTTCTTTTTCCTTCACTACAAGACCTTCAGGTTGTCTCGTGTAAAGTTTTTTAGAAATATCTTCATTCAAAAATGTTGTCTTAACATATATCTGATGAAGCTTTAAATTATAGTGTGCCACAAGTGCCATAATAATTCGGAAAGAATCTTTCGACAAAACAGGTGAGAAGGTTTCAACATAATCAATGCCTTTTCACTGAGTGAAGCCTTTTGCAACCAATCTTGCTTTCTTTCGTTCAATGTTCCCTTTTAAATCCAATTTACTTTTAAAGATCAACTTGTTATATATAGCTTTAGCATCTGAAAAAAATTCAACAAGTTCCAAACTTTATTCTGTTTCATAGAATTCATTTCATATTCCATAACATTTATCCATTTATCTTCCTCGAGACTTGTCAATGTTTGATTATAAGTTACAGGATCAACAACATGTCCAATATTAAAATCACTCTCCAATAAATATGTAATATAATCACTGAGCAATGTAGATATCCTTTACCTTTGCGATCTCCTAACTCGTGGCTCAGAAATTGACCCAATTGTTGTTGGAGGAATTGGAGGTTTCTCTTGGTTCTTCGATTCTTCATTTAAAACTTCAACTAACTAAGAACCAACTCTTTCTTGTATAACAGGAACTGTAACAACTTGATTTAATTCAACAAAAAATTCTCTCAATGTAGAACTCTCACTATCACCAAAATCGTTCTCTAGAAATTTCGTAGTAATAAACTCAACAATTCTAGTACTGCGATATATACTTTTGATCTCTCTGGGTACCCAGTAAAGTGACAAGTAATGGATTTCGGATCTAATTTATTTTCAAATGGATTAAAAATCCTAACCTTGTTGGACATCCCCAAACCTTAAAATGGGCC